GCATTGGGTGTCACAGAACTGTGGGGCCCATCTCAGTCACGGCTGAACCGCAATAGGCAAAGCAAGCTGGTTCTGCTAACAATGCCGGCAACAGCGAACTAAGAAAATAACAAATTAAACGACAGAGCTAGGGAAGACATCCGATCATCTGTGGGAACTGCATTGACCGAGCAGAGGGGGTTTCCTCAAGCGCAACACTGAAGGTCCTGACAGTTATCTGTTATGAGGCTCTAACTCCAAACAGCCTTCTTTAGAAGCATGAGCCCTTTCTGATGAGGATCTGGATGCCCGGTCCTTACTGCAACCGAGGGCTACCGAACTAGGGCTTGAGCATGCGCTCTGAGCCAGGCTTTGTTTGAGGGGTCCTACTCACATTGCCATGTTTAATCCTCATCACAGTCTTTGGAAGTCAATCTGCACCAAGCAGAAAAGCCACCTAAAGTTCAGAGAGGTGATTTGCTTCCTCTGGGGAAACTGCTGAGAAACCTGGTATAGTGGGAACTTCGAACTTGAAGATCCTCATTTTAAGGTCAACTCTGCCTTTTACAGATGGCGAGGGTGAGAAAAACACTGTAAGACACGACACAGCCTCAAGAGTATACCTTCACCTTCGTGATTGCCTTGGAAAGAAACAGAAAGTAGAAGCGAACAGACCAAACCCACCGTGTTCTCGTAGGCACCTACAGGCTGTGTGAGGGGCAGCAAGCTCTGCAGGGCCTTCCTTAAGCAAACCATGGTTTCCTTACTCTCGATGATGACCTAAGCGATCTGGCCCTTCAGAGCCAGTCGGTTTTCTTCCCAGCCCCAGAGTTTGGACTTAACTGGCCTTTTTATCCCTCTGACAAGACAAGCTCATTCCTATTCCTGCCTCAGGGCCTTTGTATCACTCCATCTTCTTCTCGGGACTTTTCTCTGCCGAGATCTTTACTGGGCTGGTTCTTTACCTTCACTTAAATCTATTCTGACATTGCATTCTCAGGGAAGCCTGCTTTGACCATCCTATTTAAAGGGCCTCTCTTGGGACTGGTGAACAGCACTGAAGTTAAAGCATTCGCCTGTCATGCATTGGGTCCTGGATTTGATCTCTAGCACCCCGAAAATAAAATAAATAAGGGATCTCTTCCAAGCACCCACCTTTATCATTGTAGCCAAGAATTCTGTTTCTTCTATGACAAGTTATAGTATGTATATAATTGTAAAGGGTGTGCTTTCTGCTGTATCTTCCTTTGGAAAGAATGCTTTGTGAGAGCAGACCTTGGCTTTGTCCACCTCTGCTTCTCCAGGGCCTATACTATGCTGCACATTAACAAACATCCATCTGTCTAATGTGGAGTGAATAACTGAGAGAGGGTCTGAGCCAGCTAAACTGCAGGCAGTAGAGGAGACCAGAAGCTGAACGCAGGAACGGAAAGACTCTGCCCAAAGTCCCTGCCTAGCATCCAAGAGCCATTGATCTTCCAAAGCCCCTATCCTATTTGAACTTCAGCTTCCTCTTCAGGAGCTTCCTCCAGGCTTCCCCAGCTGTGAGGGATGGGTGTGGAATGCCGTGTGCTGATGTGGACCCTGCCTAGTGTTCTGTGCTCGGCAGGGCCTGACATCTCTGGGTAGAATGCAGAGAGATGTCTTCATGTGGCCGATTCATGCATACCCATTTGTTTGTCACTCGCCGATTTAATTGGGGAATAATTAGTAAGCAATGCTAATCAACCCTTTATTAGTCATGGGTCTAATGAGCTGAAATGAAGCATGGTTGAAAAAAAATTCCATTAACTTGTACCATATTTACACTCAACGTCAGCTATGCCATTTGATTGTTTGAAACACACTGCTTTTAAATTATTGCAGCCATTAATTTTGTAGGGCGAGACAAAGGACCTGAATTTCTAAGTGTGCGAGCAGTAACCACAGCTGAAGGAAGACCATTGGTTGGTTGTATTTTTAGAGCCAGCTCAGTATTCTCAGCATAGTAAAATTTTCATGAAGTACAAGAGAGAAGTAGCCCAGGCAAGAGTAATAAATGGGAACCCAGGACCCACGCTAGATAAGAAGTTTTTTTTAACCTTATTGTATTATTATTATTATTATTATTATTATTTAATTTTAACTGTGATTCAAGTAAAATTAGGAAGCCGAACCCTGTGAATTCTATGGTCTGGCTAACTCAGGAACCAGCACAAAACAGAACATCTGTTGTGGAATATTATTGTAAGATGTGTTACATTTGTTTATGCTGTGGAACATTTTTTTTAATGATACAAAGATGTGTTGCATTCTTTTATGTTGCATTTGTTTAATTCTGTGAAGCTCTGTTACTTTGCCTGTCTACAACACCTAGTTGGTCTAGTAAAGAAAGCTGAACAGCCAGTAGCTAGGCAGGAGAAAGGGCTGGCAGGCAGAGAGAAGAAATAGGTGGAGAAATCTGGGAATAAGAGATCGAGGAGCAGGAAAAAGAGGAGGACATCACAGGTCAACCACCCAGTGACACAGTAAGCCATGGAGTAAGAAGTAAAAGTATATAGGTGGTGTGGGAGGTCCTTCTGTCTATGTGTTGCTTTTATTGGTTACTAAATAAAGAGACTGCTTTGGACCTATAGCAGAGCAAAGCACTGAATGCTGAAAGAAAGGAGGTGGAGTCAGAGAGAAGCCATGAAGCTGCCAGAGACAGATGCTGGGAACTTTAGCCGGTAAGCCACCGCCATCCGGCAATACACAGAGTAATAGAAATGGGTTAAATTAATATGTAAGAGTTAGTCAATAAGAAGCTAGAGCTAATGGGCCAAGCAATGATTTAAATAATACAGTTTCTGTGTGATTACTTCTGGACTAAGTGGCTGGGAATTAACTAGTGGCCCCTCCTCCAATATATAGGTATAGAGAAAGATAAAAGCCCAGAGGCAAAAGATAGATGGGATAATTTAAGTTTAAGGAAAGTTGACTAGAAATAAGCCAAGGCAAGGCCAGGCATTCACAAGAAAGAATAAGCCTCCATGTGTGTATTTATTTGGGAACAGAGTGGCAGGCCCCCCCAAAGAACAATCAAAAAGTAAAAAACAACCAACTACAAACACCATCTTAGGTTGAACTAAGGCATGCTCCAGTACCTGCCTTAGGGTTTAGCTTTGGGAATGTCTGGGGGATGGTTGTGAAAGACAGGCCCGTGTCAACACCAGACCCGGCCAGACAGTTGTCAAAACTTGTTGCAACAGCAAGCCTATCTTGCCTATTTTTCTGAAAACTTGACACTGATACCCTTCCCATGCAGTGTGTGTATAGGTCCATTTCTCCCCATCGTTAACCCAGGCAGAGTGTTGTGACCTCCCTGATTGATGGAGTGTGGAAGAAGTGATATTATGTGTGTGCTTGTTAGGGTTTCTATTGCTGTGAAGAGACACCATGACCATGGCAACTCATTTAATGGTGCTGTTTCCAGTTCGGGTGTTTACTGCACTATCATCATGGCCGGAATCATGGCGGCACACAAGCAGACCTGGTGCTGGAGAGGTAGCCGAGACTTCTACATCCAGATCAACAAGCAGCAAGAAGAGAGGACAACTCTGGGCCTGGCTTGAGCTTCTGAAACTTCAAAGCCCATCCTCAGTGATATACTTCCTCCCACAAGGCCACACCCCCAAATAGTGCCACTCCTTATGAACCTATGGGGGCCATTTTCATTGACCACCACACCATGCATGCCAAGGCTAGTACAAACACTTCATTTTCCTCTCTTGGGGTAGTTCCCCTTAGGACCCAGTCACCATTCTGTGGTGAAGCCTGGTCTAGCCCATACAGGGTGAACTCACAGAGATGGGAAATGTCCTGCATAGCTGTTCTGGCATTAAGCCACCTGAAGACCCTTCTGAGAGCCGACATTAGTCACTAGACACAGCGAAGATAACCCTTGCTGTCTCTAATCCCAGTCTTCATGCTTTCCCAGACGATGCCCCAGACGTGGTGAAGCAGAGACAAACCACTTTGACTAAGGTGTGTTTAAATCCCTAGTCTACGAAGCAATAGTTGTCATAAGCCACCCCCAAATGGCTGTGTACTGGTGTCGTTTCTAGGGCACCAGGAGAAGCTGGAACAAGCATTTCATCAGGAACAGAGAAGGATGGAACAGAGGTGTGCCCAGAGCAGTGTCAGGAAGCCCGGGGCATAAGGCGCCCTCAGCAGTATGCTTGTCCACATCATGTGAGGCCTTTTGCTCTTCCTGCTGCTGCGTTTTTAAGCTATGCTTCTTGACAGACATGAAACTGCCCTCCACTTGGTGGGCAGATGAGGGGACTAAGACTCTAAGACTCTACGTGATCAGCTAGTGAGAGCCACATTGCAGCAGGCAGCAGCAGCCTAGACCAGTGCTCCCCACGCCCACAGTGCACCATCAGATCCTACCTATGGCACTTGATTCGGCACCCTCCCTGGTTGGTGGGACTCTCCACACACAACTTATTCATGTTTTGTTCAAGGTCCCTGCAGCAAGCCAGGGACAACAACATCCAGTGACTGGGAACCTACTGGTACTGTGGGGCTCTCAGAACCATGGGGCTTTTTGGTTGACTAGTGGGGCATCCATCAGGATGACTGACATGTCTGTATTTGCTCTTCATTGTAACCACAGGCATGCCCAGAGTCTACCTTTCCCCTGTCTTACCTGCTACTTCCTGTGACATCCACACCAAAGTCACCACCCCCACATGCTCCAGTAGCACTGCGGCTGATGCTATTACAGTCTGTTACACGGACTCTATATATAGTCGCTTACATCTGCTCAGACACATCTCCTAACTAACACTGGCGGTCAAGCGAGTCTTTAGCTGGGATGTTGCAAAGGAACCTCTCCATCGTCCCCGTGTACCTCTCCATATTAGCAATAGCAAATAACAAAACAACAAGCCAGAAACGTATTACAAGTTCAACAACCAATGGGAGAATGTGTCGTCAGAGGGGAGAGAAGCTGTACCAGTGTGTTTGTCTGGGGTGGGGGAGGGACGAAGGGAGGGAGGACGAGTGGGCATTAAGGCCGAATAACTTCCCTTCCTGTTTCAGCTTCCAAAGCTTTGGGGCGGGGAGGTTCTTCAGGAGTTTTTCATAGGGCTGCACTGGCAGTCGGCTCTCCGTCAGGACATCCTGCCAGGAAGTTGACATTTTCTACCCAGGTGACCAGGGACAGGGCTTGAAGGCTGACTGAGCATCTGCTGTGGTGAGTCCCACACCGGCTCGAGCTGTATGCAGACTGAGCCAGGCCTTTTGAGATCACAGCGTAACTAAGGAGGTGAACACAGAGGAGGGATCCAGAGCTCACAGCTGTGCCTGGCAGGAGGCAGAAGGGCAGGGGACCATCTCCACTAGGCTATACCTTCAGTTCAGTGTGTGCCTGATGGTCTTCCATAGGCTGTCACCGGCCAGGGCCAGAAGTGTCAGCCGGTCCCGACGGCAGCTTTCTCATACCTTGGAAATTTACAAACCTTACTTTGGCTGTCTTTGCTTGTCTGGAAAGAGCAGGTGCCCGTGAGAACATTTAGCATTGTGAACAAATGGGCGTTCAGGAGCATTTTGGTCGAAACTGAATGTTATCCTTCCTGGATCCTAACTTGATGGGGCCCCGTTTCTTAGCAGCATGAGAAATAGGTCACCAGAGTAGCAGGAAGCTGGGCAAATGGCTAGAACAACAAGAACTAAGTTGGTTGGACCCATTGAAGAAAAAAAATCTAACAAATGAGCTTTCAGAATTATAGGATGAATACGCCAAGAAGACCTGAATTCTATGGTATTATCTGCAGTGGCTGGGAGCATTTGCCCAGGGAGGGGTTAGTGGTCGTAGCTAATTTGTAAAGCAGAGTTTTCCTGCTGTCCTCTGTTAGTTCTTGGTGGCTCAAGTCACCCGATGGCGCCCTCTGAGGTGGCTTCTTTCTCCTCTGTGGTGTGCATCTGTCAGGGGAGCAGGATGACCCACAGTCAGAGAGCGTGCCCCTCAGGAAAAGGAAGGGCGTTCCGTGGGACAGAGAAGTCAGGGTGGTATGTTTGAGACCCGAGGCTGGGGAGTGGACTTTCAGCTGTGGCCTTGTCCCTGTTTCAGTAACATGAGGGTCAGTCCCGCTGGCCCTGTCCCCATCACTGTTCTCGGCATCCGCTGCTGTCCTTTAGGCTTCCCTGGCTTCCGCTGGTGCACTTTGCCCTAATTCCTTTAGTTTCTCCTCCATTTTTCTGTGCTCACCACATGCTACCCCTGCCCCATTCCTGACCACCCAGCTTTCCTCTCCCTAATGATGCTTTCCCACAGCTCGGACCAGTCCTCCTGTCCCCTGAGGCTGGCCAGCCCTCCTGTCCCCTGAGGCCAGCTCTCCTGTCCCCTGAGGCCAGCTCTCCTGTCCCCTGAGGCCAGCCCTCCTGTCCCCTGAGGCCAGTTCTCCTGTCCCCTGAGCACCCCAGGAGCTACGCTGAGGATCTTCAGTGCAATCCTTAAAGCCCATCTGCTGGAGAGCCCTTACTAGGCTCTGCTGAACCCCAAAGCCTCAGGTCACCTGAAGACAACTGAACAGGTATTCAGGGGTTTTTCAAAGCTGCCCTGGGTGTGGAATATGCGTTCATGACAGAACATGAAGTACCTCCTTATGTCCTGTGTGGATCCAAATAGCCAAATAGCCCCTTCTTCCTATGAAAACAAATACACAGCCCTTCAAATGTTCTCTCTCTCTCTCTCTCTCTGGTTTTTTTGAGACAGGTTTCTCTTTGTAACTTTGGTTGTCCTGGAACTCACTCTGTAAACCAGGATGGCCTTAAACTCACAGAGATCCGCCTGCCTCTGCCTCCCTAGTGCTGGGATTAATGCTGTGCACCACCATTGCTTGGCTCAAAAAATCATTTTTTTTCTAAAGATTTATTCATTTTTATGTGCATTGATGTTTTGCCTGCAGGGATGCCTGTGAAAGGATGCCAGCTTTCCTGAAACTGAGTTACCGGCAGCTTTTAGTTACCATGTGGTTCCTGGGAATTGAACCCAGGTTCTCTGGATCAACAGCTATTGCTATTACCCACCAAGCCATCTTTCCAGCCCTCAAATGCCATTCTTAACAATACTGCTGGGTTACTGGGCTGTTGTTTCCTGTGTTCTCTCTTCTTCCCACTCCTCTTTTCCCTCCTCCCCTCTTTTCCTTCCTTATTTATTTTATTTTTTTTTGGGGGGGGCGCAATAGGGAAGGTTTCACTGTGTAGCCCGGGCTGTTCTTGGGCATGGTATCCTCTTGCCTTAGCCTCCTGAGTAGCCCTTTCTTTCCTTTAATAGGTTTGGACCCCAAGTCCTGAGGGCTGAATCAGTGACACCCCTCAGTCTTTCGTGCCACATTCTTGTAGTGGCCCCTGCAAGGTATGTCTTTATTTTGTAATAAAGGTAGTTATCTCTGTGCCCCAGTCCCACTCTGCTGCTTTATAGAAAGATGGCCATTTGTATGCATGTAGCGTTCTGTTTGTGCACATGCACTTAATGCAGACCACTTGTGCCTGACTTCTTCAGATACACATATTCACACACTCAGTCTCCCTGGTCTCGTCGTGGCTTTCTGGGAGACAAGGCAGTTTTCTGACAGGAGAACAAATCTCCCATCCCTCTGCCCCACAACAGGAAGTTCCACAGAGATGCAGATGTGAAGAGACGCCTAGTTTCCCACAGATCTCAGGACCTTGATGCAGAACTGAGCGACTTAGCCTTCTGGAGCCAGAGCACCAAGTCAGCTCGGAGGCATTTGGCAAGCAATTATCCCCAGCCCCGCCTTCTCCCAATTGGCCCTGATTTTACAGCCTCTTCTATATGGCTGTTCAAGTTCCTAGTCATCTGGGAAAGCAAGCAGCAGCACATTCTCCACGCAGGGACTTGTACTAAGTCACATAGCGAAGCTGGGATAATGAGGCAGAAACTAGTCATGCCAAGATCCCATCGGAGGGTAGGTCTGTGATCTGCACTCGCTGCCCAATAGAAGGATGCCCATTCTGACGCAGTGTCTCGTGTTTGCCGTGCACAGATAAAGACAAACAGCCCTGCAGGGATCCTATCTGGAAGAGTGGCTCTGGGCAGGTGCCCCCAAGCCCTTCTGGGGAGGAAGAGGCTGTGGCCTGGTCCCTGTCCCAGGCTATGATCTTTATAGTGCCACCGGTGGGGCCTGGTACTGAGATGACATTAGGGTGTTTCCCAGTCCCTAGACCACACCTTGAAAGAACTGCATTCTCTTGCCATCTCTGGGAGATTCTGGCTGGGGCATGTTCTTTGCAACTGTTTCCTACCCTGCAGCTTCAGGATCCAGCTGGGATCCCAGAGAAATCCAGAGGGAACAGTTACTGAGCTCCAACAAATGCATTATCTTTGTTCTCTCTATGTAGAACCAGATACAAGCTGTTTTTCTGTTTGTTTTGTCTTGTGAGTGATGTGCTGGGCAGAAGGGCAGTGTGTTAGGTCTGGTTCAGTGCTCTCATCTCCTAGGACCAAAACCAAGGTCAGATGGACCTGCTGGGGATGACTGAGCAAACAGAAGAGCATCCTGGGAGAATTGAGAGTCCTGAGTCCCAGGCGATTCTTCCACTGTGTCAACCGCAGCTAAAGGGTTGGTCCCCTGCAGGGCTGCTTGTCCTCAGCATATGGAAGACATCAGATGCTCTGTAGGAAAGCGGTGGCCTCCTGCCACGGGCTGTAATTATGAGCCTGAACCAGGGCTGACTGGAGCATCTTGCCTGGTGCCTTTGTCCTGGCTTTGCCGCCGGTTGGCTCTGTGACCTAGGACAGGTCCCTGCAGTCATGCTGCTTAGTTGCCAAAGGAAACAGCAACAGTAAGGCTAAGACCCCCCCGCTCCTCCCGCCCTCTCCCATTCCCTCCCACCCCTCCCGCCCTCTCCCGCCCCCTCCCCACCCCGCCTGCGCTCTTCACTTCAGGATGGGTCTGCAGGTGAATTATCCCAGTAGAACAACCCTAAAGCTCCCTCCCTGTCCACCCTCCTCCTTCACCAGCACCGGGTCATATGGACTATGCCTACAGAGACTGCCTGAGAAAACAAATCGGCAACAACAAAAATGGGGAAGCGCAAGGAAAATAAACCAGCAAAAGGAATAAGAAAAACCTTCAAACCACATTCATTCAAAAATCATAAGGTATGTTCTCAGTTGTGTCAAAAATGATTTTTTTTTTTTAAGGGAACAGTTGGGCACTGAGGTGTAGGCCTGGAATTCCAACTCCTCAGGAGCATTGGAAGTTGAAGATCAGACTGAGGAACTTATTGAGACCCTGAGTCAAAATAAAAAATAAAAAAACAAAAGGGAACTGGAAGTAAGTTAGCAGACTGGAGATTCAACCCATGCCTGCCTGGGCTTTACCCCTAACACGAGAAAGAAAATGCTTTAGGTTTCTAATAGTGCAAATTGTTTATATTCTCTTTCTCTCCCCTTCTTCTTCCTTTTTCTTTACATACATACACAATTTTTAAAGTCAGGATGGGAGGAAAGGAAGGAAGGAAGGAAGGAAGCAAGGAAGGAAGGAAGGAAAGAAACCTTTCTAAACCTAACTTATTTGGTGGTCTTTTAAGCTCTTCTCAGCCTCTGCTCTCAGATTAAGTCTTACAGCAGCCTCTGAATGGCTGCTGGATTGGATTATTCACATGGGGAAACAGAGGCAACAGGATAGAGGGCTAAGGGGAGAGGCCAGTCGGGAACCAGGCTTCTGGCTCCAGTGACCAATAGCCTGCACCTCGGAGTCACATGGACAATAGCAACCAAGGACGGTTGAGCAGAGGAAAGCTAGACTCTGGCCTCAACCACAGAGAGGCTCCTGATGCCTCAGTGACTGGATGTGGGACTCAGAAAAGCGGGACTCGTCTCTTGAGTTCCCAAGTAAGAACCGAGTGGGGTCATTTGAGGGGTGTGGAGGCTGAGGGGAGGGGCCAAGAAGCAGATATCACATCCTAAGCCAACCCCCACTGAATAGCCCTAGCCTAGAAACCAGCAACTTTTTCTGGTCCGGGCTGCCTCTGCTCTGGTTGTGTGCCTCAGGTGTCAGAGATCATCTGTGGTCACTGGCATTTCCGGCTACCTTAACACCCCTTCCAGTTTCTCCCACCCACCCCTTGTCAGAAGCCTGGCAGCTCTCTGAAAATGCATGCAGACCTGACAGTTCTGGGTGAGGAGAGCTTGGGCAGGAGTTGAGAGCCAGTTCACAGGGTGACCTACGGCAAGAACCAAGGGCTCAGGTGTTGATGACCTGTGGGCTCTACCTTAGAGTCATGGAGTCGGGGAAGTAAAACCTCACACACGCTGCTTGAGAGCATGGCTGTCATATTTCTTCCTGTGCTACTTCCCCGGCATATGGGGTATGTTCACCTCTGTCCCGTGACCTGGTGTTCTGAGCCTGGGCAGTAGCTATGCCGTGGTGTCTTGAGGAATGTCACCGTGAGACGACCGACCGTGGGAGGGCATTCCTGGCCAAAGGAGGGAGGACACAGCCATTCCCAGTGCAGGGAGTTTGCATGGTCACTGATGGGCAGAGTGTGGGTGAGGAGGGTGTGGGGTGGGAGAAAGTGTGAAAACCGGAGGCAACCTGTCCGGCTGCTGTCCATCCGGGCTACTCATGGTTCTGCCTCCTCTGCCACCTCCCTTGGTGACAGGAGAGTGGTGTCAGACTGGGCGTGAGGGGTGTGTGTGCGGTGGATACCAAGGCGGAGCACAGCACCAGAGAGTCGGCTGGGCGGCTTGGCTGTTTCCTTGGGACTGACCTCGTGACCTTCATTCACAAACCAGTGTCCCCTGAACACCTGCATTCTGATGCATTAAACTCACTGGGAACCTGTTTAAAGTGCATATTCCAGGTCTCCCCAGAGATTCCAGTTCGGTGGTCTGGGGTGGGGCCTAGGCATCAGTATTTAACCATGTTTTCTAGATGTGTCTGATGGGTGTGGCTCATGGACCACATTCGGGGACCATTTATCTGAAGGTTAGTTGGACCTACAGAGATGTGAAACCTCAAAAGACTCCAGAAGTTGCTTTTGGAGCAGCGGCATCTCTCTGGTTCTCAGGCCTCACCATGCCCTCTGTCTCGGTTGTTCCGAGTGACTCATTGACAGCTTCTGCCAGTCCCTATGTGAAGGAGCAGTTGATCATTTTCCCAGCGTTCACTTGGGAGGCCAAGGTGCTTCCCACCACAGGTTCCCTGGAGTCATAGGGTCCCTCTGTGCCAGCGGTCAGTCCCTCAGACTGTTTCCCAGAACTAAACTGTGACAAGACCTTATGCTTTGGGATCACTTTGTGTGCAGGCTAGACCCCCATGGCCAAGGGATGCTGATTGTATTCTCTGCAGAGGACGCTGGTGGAGTAACACTGTGTGTTAGAAACATTTCTTTTAAATGTTATTACCTTGCTATCTTTGTGGAATGCCGTAATGGGCAGCACTGCCCTTGCTTGTGCACATTAGATCATAACTTGTTTGCCCGCACACTAGCGAACCAGCAATGTGATAACATGCAGACTTGAGCTAGCCTGGTCTAACACACAGTGTGGCCCACAGGGGAAGGATTGTTTTTACGAGAAAGTAACTGCTTTATAGGACTTGTGTCCAGGCAGGACTGGGGTCACCGATTTGGCTGTCCCTCTGTTCCTCTCACTCTCCCTGGTTTATGGTCAGGCCGTGTGTGGCTTCTGGGAGTTCTAATCACACCTAATGTATGGGGAACTTCAGTGGCTACATTTAAGGCTTCCAATATTAACAGAGGACTCTCGCCCTGCCTGAAGCCAAGTGATGGATGCGTTCCTTGTGCCAGCGCATGACAGCCAGCTGAAAACCCGATCGAGTTTAATTAAGCACATTCTTTACCAGCGGCAGTGCAGACTTCTGGTGTCAAGCCGAAGCATCCTTTTGGGCCTGTGCTTGTATTTTGAGCTCATTCTTTCTTCCTTCTCTAGGAGATCTCAGCGTCTACTGTACCTCCAGAGAACCCCTGTGGTATATACCAGAACCACTCCTGGGAGGTCTTCTCCCATTGGTCTGGGCCATGTGTGTCTCCTTTTGTAATCTTCTGCAGGTGACTCTGACTTGCCTTGGAGAACTACTGACCTACACAGGCTAGTAGGTAGTTCTCTCGCATCAAGGCCTTCACTCCAGGTCTCCTGAGCGTCAAGCATATGTGTCCTGTCTGCTGGGCAGATCCAGCTGGGGTATCTGATGGGCACACTGGGGTCATAGCAGACACCCTGGGATGAGTTCAGCTCCACTCAGTCTACTGCATCTGCTCCTTCTTCCAGAATACATCTCAAGTCTGCAAAGAAACTTCGGCCTTTTGGGAACAGTCTGTTGTCGCTGGATGGAGGAGGCATGTCTTTGAATTCACAAGGTTTCTCAACTTCTTGAGACAGTGTAGCCATTGCTCCCATCCCATAGCAACCTGCTAAGAGCTGTTACTCTTCCTGCACAAACATACAGCGTCTTCCCTTTCCTTCCTCTAGCAGAGTCAAGACAGAGTTGAAAAACCTCACAACTTTATACCACCAGAGACTCATGGATGGCAGAAGGGGATTCACATGGCATAATGTAACACAGGATGTGGGATACCCATAGTGGAACGGCTCATGCCCGCAGCCTGCAAATCCTGCCTTCTCCCAGCTCCCTTCTGCGACCTCATAGCGAGCCCTCGTTTGAATCTTGAGGCCTGAAGTCTCTACCGAGAAAATCTGGAGCACTGCTCTTGCTCAGTTCTGCTGTTTGTCAGAGCATCTCTCTTCCCCTCAAATGGCTGGGTGGTGAGAACGGCATTGCCAATCGGGACTCTAGGGCAACGGGCTTACTGGCTGCAACACTGCACCCAAGTCGAACTAGGGCATGGTGCCCTTACTTTCATTGCCATGTAGATATTTCCCCCCAACTGAAACATTTCCTGCAGAATGTAAGAAGGCACCTAAGTCTCGGGAGCTAATGACACTTGAGGACTCAGAAAGTTCTAGATTTACAAGGCCCCTTCTGAAGGTTACAAGCAACAAACAATTCCCAGGGAAGAAGAGATTCTTCTGTCTGCAAATTTGACAGGGGTGTCCATGAATGCAGCTTTCAAAACCATCATATAGGCTGGGATAGGCTTTTTAGTGACGTAGCTCCTTTGAGATAGCCTTTGTTCTGGTTTGTTTTCTGTCACTGTGATGAGCATTGAGAACAGAAGCAACTTAGGGGAGAAAATGGTTTGTATCAACTCATATTTCCAGGCCACAGTCCATCACTGAAGGAAGTCAAGCAGGAACCATGGAGAACTGCTGCTTACTGGCTTGCTTCTCCCACTGGCTCTCCGCTGCCTTTTACATACAGCTCAGGCCGACCTTCATAGGGATGGTGCCGCCCACAGTGGGCTGGGTCCTCCAACAATGATCATCCAGCCAAAGAATTCTTCATAGATATGACCACAGGCCAATTTGGTTGAAGAAATTCTTTACCTGAGGTTTCTTCTTCCAAGGTGGACTCTAGGTTGTGTCAAGTTAATAATTAAAACTAACCAGATACCCAATGCTCTTGTAAGAAAACCCAGGAAACTCATTGGTCCATCAAGCTACACTTGAGTTGAATTATTTTTCTGATCTGTAATCAGTGCCTAGGGTAGAGAGATGTTCATTTGTGGCTCTCCGGGAGGAGCATAGGACAATAATGAATGCCTACACACCCAGCCCGTGTTACTGCCACTACCATTCCTTCCTCTCTCATCATCACCTGTAGCCATGAGGCTCCTGGCCAGTCTTTGGCCACCATCCATCTTCCCCACGTTGCTGGGTCTGATGCTCATGCCCTAGAATTTTACAACTTGGCAATTTGCAAATTATCTGCTCTTAGCATTTGCTTGCTCTTTTAGATTCTACCAAGTATGACCCTCAAAGACATTTTGCTTCTGTGGATCACCTGTTAATATTTGCTATCAGTATTAAAGCAGAGGAATTCAATGAAAGCACCTTTTATTTTTTCGTGACTGACTAGAAGATACTGGTTCGCTGAGCTGAATGCATTTTCTCAATGTTGACACATCTCTCTATCAAATATTCAAGAGCACACTCACTAATGTGCTCCTGGAATGCCTCTGGGAAGGTCTGTAAGTATCTGGAAGCTGTCAGGCTCACAGTGGCAAACCCAGTTTTCCAAAAATCCCAAGGCTCACTTGAAAGCTCCAGTTTTTTTTTTCCCCATTGGCAGCAAATCCTGTCAGCCGTTTTCCTTGAACTGACTGAGATTCATTTCTAGGAAACTGTCTGCCCAGACCCAGGTCTGAATAGCCAGAGCTTGCCTGACAATTGTGTCTTTCAAATAAAAACATATTTTCTGAAGAAAAAAAGTGAATGGCACAGCTCACTCCTCTTTCTACGCAGACACACAGGTAACTTTTCTTTGAGATAGTCACAATACTTTATATGTGGCAAAAAGCGGTGTGGGGATGATTGGGACACACCGGATATTAAAAATACATATACTGGGCGTGGTAGTACAGGCCCTTAATCCCAGAACTTGGGAGACAGAGGCAGGTGGGTCTCTGTGAGTTCGAGGCCAGCCTGGTCTATAAGAGCTACTTCCAGGACAGGCACCAAAGCCAGAAGAGAAACCCTGTCTTGAAAAACAAACAAACAAAAATCATTACATTTATTTGTTTGTTTGTTAGTTTACTTATTTACCATGTGTGTGCCCGTGCATATGGTTTGAGGCAAATGTGGCAGTCAGAGGACAATGTGCAGGACTCAGTTCTCTCCTTTTACCATGTGGGTCCAGGATCCCAAACTCAGATCATCAGGCCTGGTGGCAAGTATCTTTACTCACTAAGCCATCTGAGTGGCCTGGGTCTTGTTTTTAAACTTTTATTCTCACCATGACCGTGCTAGCAGAGAAACAACGCGAATTGGTCCAGAGTGGTATGGCTGTCTCGGTCTGCACCAAGGGGACGACAATCTTTCCCACCATTTCTTTTGTGCCATGCTCGAACGTCAGGGTAGAGAGCAAAAGCAGACGACAACTTTGCTCCGTTAAGAAAATTGCTGTAACTTCATGGATTCCTTGACTCCATTGTCCTCCTCAGGACCCTGGCATCCACAGTACCTTTTTTGAGAACTGATGAACAAATTCAAAGTCTCCTCCCTTCCCGTCTGCAAGGACAGTCTAGACCAGAAGGCAGTTTGGAAAGTGGGGTCCGTTCCCTTTCCTTAGCAGGCACTTCCGTGGACACTGAGTTCCAAAGGGAAGTAGCAGGGCCCGGTGCTAGCTGTGGGGTAAACCTTTAGCATTACCAAGTCAGCCATGCATCATGGGGAGGCTCCTGGTGGGAGGTGTTCACCAGCAGCCCCAGGGCCCATGAGCGTGAAATCCGGTGTGCTTTGCCTGTGAGCCATTTCCAGCGCTAACTTCATTTCCACCGTGTGACTAATGCAAGTGCCCTCTAAGGAGACCACTGGCTGAGAGCAATGCCCATGGCTGCCTGCAGCAGCAGCACCGGTAGCTGGTGGGGGAAGCGTGATCTGATTTTGCCAACAGGGGAATGGCATGGTGAGAGGCTGGATGATTTGGCGAGTTACAGAGTGAAACAACCTCATTGTTCTGTGGGTTCAGATACTTTTGGGGCTCACTCCGAGAGAAAGTAGGGGTCAACAGAAAGCTGGACGGCAGGAGTGGTCCAGCACAGTTGGCTGTAGGGCATATGTGTCGGACAGGCAGCACGCGTCTATCCACCTCACTCAGGTGGCACTGGGTTCCCTTCTCACATCTTAGTTGGAGAGCTTGCTAAAAATGAGGTCTGCTGTCCAGTGTATCTTTGTTCTGGTGACAATGATTCCTGAGGGAGTGGGTAGGAAGATTTTCAGATCCGTCTCTATTAGCTGAAGATTAGTTACCCCACTTTATAAGCAAGGAAGGTGACTCCCAGAAAGGGTACTTAACTTGTCATGATCACAGGACAGGTGGCACAGCAGGGACCTGGGCTAAGACCTAAGACTTGGCTCACAGGTCGAAGCTCTTCCCATTGGGGCTGGTGCAAATGCCAACTGTTGTGGCAATCTTAAAGAGACTCATCATACCTGGGACGCTTGCTTTTCTTACCTCGTTGGCCAATCTGGCAAGGCTTTCTCATAAACACAAATAAAGCGTGCCAACACTGGGTGTGGTTCCAGGACTTGAATCCCACGACAGTCACCGAGCTTTCATGTCTGGCTTCTTCATCACATGCCATTAAAAATGATAAATGCACAGGGCGTGGGGATGTACGCCTGTGATCCCAGTGCTCGGGGAGGCTAAAGCAGAAGGGTCTAAGAATCTGGGGCCAGCCTAGGCTACAGAGAGAGGTGGATGCTGAAAGATTGGTGAGTTTGAGGATAGCCTGGGTTACATAGTGAAACTCTGTCTTACAACAGCAAACCAGAAAAAAAAAAAAACCAACAAACTCCAAAGCCAAAAGCATATAAATGCTATTCACTTTTATTTCCCTGGGCGGTCCTGGTCTAGAAAGGAAAGCCCTGACCTGGAAGACGGTTGAGCAGGGTTTGGTTCCTGGCTGTAGCATCTGGTTGACTTGCTGCCTTGTCATTACCTCTGTGTGCCATGGTTTCCTTATGTAATACGAACATATTATCCACCGTTTATCACAACCCAGCTTCACACAGCATCAAAGAACATAATTGTTATAAATACACCTTTGCTCTGTGAATGTCTTTGAGGAAACTGGGGGGTGGGGCAGCCACATGCCTAGATTATTAGCCATGCTTGGAGTGTTAAATGGGGCCATGTTTTCACCTATAAAGTAGGGTAGGCCTTTCAGCTAAGTACTGGCCTTCTTGACTGAACTCCAGAAATCTGGACCCACTGGCTGAAGGCAGGCCCAGTGACAACAGCAGGAGATGCCACAGGTTATACTGGATTTGTTTCTTTTCCGGTAGTTTGGGGTGGGTGTGGGGCTGTTGTGTGATATCTGTGTGGCTTGGTGCAAGGATTCACAATTTCTTGGCTCTGGACACTGGTACCATTCTAGGCTGGGATCTTCTGACCACACCCTACAGTACTAGGGTGCATGGCCCTGCCTGGCACAGATTTCAGATGCCCACTTCAGGGTCCTGCAAAGAAGGAAGTGGAGTCACTGACATTAGAGCATGACCCCCAGATGTTGTAGGAGGCCGTTTGTTTGTTCCTGGCTGCTCAGACCTGAAATAACCACACAGAAACTGTTTTAATTAAATCACTGCTTGGCCCATTAGCTCTTGCTTCTTATTAACTAACTCTTAAATCTTAATTTAACCCATTTCTGGCAATCTGTGTATGGCCACGTGGCTGTGGCTTACAGGGTAAAGTTCCCTCCAGCTCCAGCAGGGCTACATGGCTTCTCTCTGACTCTGCCTCCCTTCTCCCAGCATTCAGTTTAGTGCCTGCCCCTTCCCCCCCGTCAGTTTAGCTCTGTTATGCCCTACTCTGCTCTAGGCTCAAAGCAGTTTCTTTATTCATTAACCAGTAAAAGCAACACATAGACAGAAGGACCTCCCACACCACCCAGACAGACACTTGCAAAGAGCTTCCTAGCAGTCACTTCTGGGAGCAGGGCAGGGCTAGCTATGTGTGTAATGATTAGGAGCAAAGACTCCAAAGCTCGAGTCTGAACTGGGAGGTTCCTGCTCTCTCTCTCTCTCTCTCTCTCTCTCTCTCTCTCTCTCTCTCTCTGGGTTCTGGGGATTCGACTCATGTTTTCATGCTTGCAAGCAAACACTTTACCAACTGATTCATCTTCATGGCCCCTATCTGTTGGTTGTTTCGTTGTTATTGCTCAGTTTTTGAGTGCTACTCACTAGTTCAGCCTAGCTAAGAACTTCCTATCTAGGCTAGGCTTTCCTCAAACTCACTGTGACTCTGTCTTAGCCTTTCAAGTGCTAGGATTATAGACATGAGCCACCACACGTGGTTCTTTAATTATCCTTACATTAGAAGACTTTCAAGATATCAACCTCTTAGCATGTTTAGAAAAACTTCTGTTAAAATATGTATAAAGGCAGTAAGTATAGTGCTTGGCCAAGTTCACTCTATTGTGCTGTCCCAACCACAGTTGGCTTGCCTTTAAGTACCCCCTTGAAAGGAGGATGGGTTTTTCCAGGCCGGGGGCCAGGGAGATTAGGGTCATGCCAGAACCTCCTGTTTCCTCCAGAGGAAACTTGGGAGAAGGGTACTAGGTTCCCTCACTCGAATGTCATTGAAGCCCTACTTTCTCCTTTCCTCACCTTTCTCTCAGACTCTCAGAGATGTAGAGACACGCATTTGAATTTTAATTGATACAATGATTATACAGACTTGTGAGGTACAGCACGGCACTTCAACAAATACTCTGTGTAATGACCAGCTCAGGTAGCCAGCCTAGCACCTTAACGGTTACCCTGGCATCCACAGTGAGTCTGTTGAATGAATCATGCTTCATCCAGGTCTAAATGGGAGGTAAATGGGCTTCCTCCGTCAGATGACGTCAGAGTGTAGGATGATTGGGGAGGGTGCTGATGTCATCATGGTTGGGAAGAAGAGGGGCAAGTGATCTCTGTGAAAGCAGGAAGTCTTCCAGGTGGCATGCTGAGATGTTCACTCTCATTTCCTGCATGTCCCCAGGCCGAGAGGCAAATCAAATGAATTCGTTTCCATGGGTGCTTTATTGCCTTTTCAGTGATGCCAGAACTGGGTTTAAGCTGGAGTTGTGAAGATTCTTAGCCCTTGAAGCGTTTTTTGCTTAGTCATGTCATTACAAGGACAATTACGGAAATACTCCTCTACCCAATACACCTATACAACGCTTATGTTTGGGAAGGATTTTGTACCAGTTTTAAGGATTAGCAAGACCCAGTGGAGCTGATGTGTGGGCTGTTCTTTATCTGACTATATTAGCAGTTTAGATCATTCCACTGACGGCCAGCTGCGGCCTACAGTCTTGGTCATGGAAAGATTTGGA